CTCCCCTGGCTCTTTAGCACTTTACTATATGCTGCTCCTGTTGTCCTTTGCTCTGGGGAAGCCAGCAGGCCAACTCAAAATAAGGTCTTTACCTGTCAACATCCCTGGCCAAGCAAATGAAGTAAGTCTAATAATCTTCAGGCACAGAGAGATAATGCTTCCCATGGGCACTTGGGTCATGTCTTACCATTAGTGTTACTTGTCTCCCTGTTGTCAAGAGAACTGGATGGGCTTGAAGGCAGGCATGACATTCCTGAAAATGATGGCTGGGCTCACCCTGGTACCACCAGCTTAGCCAGTTCACATAGTTGTAGTCAGAAAGGGACCCACCCTGGGTACCAACAGTTGGTACTTTGGTCTTTCTCTCCTCCCAGATGTTACTAGCCTCTGTGGTAACACCTATGTGGATCTTCAGCCTGGCAAGCCCAGGGGCATCAACAAAAGTGAGAAAACACACTCTCCAGGTTCTCTGTCCATCAGCAGGAAGAGGGCTCCAGAACCCACCTTCCAAGTGCGCTCTCAGGTGAGTTGATGCCCATTTGCTGCTGTGGCCCAGCTTGAGATGGTGGCATCGACAGCAGGAGCTTATGAAGGGACAACACCCAAGAAGGGGCTGCATAAGCACTAACAGTGAACATGAGGAAGACGCCCACATTTGGAAGCTGGAGGAAAACTGCGTTCGAAGTATACGTTCTCAGTAAGATTACAAAACACTGTGTGCTGGAATTTATAGAAAAAATGCCCTGCAGCGATCTTCAAAGGCGTGTAACTACGTGAATATAAGTCTCCAATTAACAGCGTCCACAGGCTCTGTGTCTGTGCTGCTGATGACTGTATGTTTCCCCATATTCACACACTGCCATGGTACTGCTGGCCCCTCATGCTCAACAGTTAACCCTCTTGACAACACACTGCTGTGTGTCTGCTTACATGCTCACTTCTGTCTTTACTAAATCTGCCACATACATGGGCTTCATGAGAGTCAAGACCCTGTCATTTCTGAATCCCCATTCAAGTGCCCAGGACACTGGTTGAGGTATCTATGCAAGGAAGGGAGGATGGAGGGAGGGGGGATAATGGGCCAGGCACAGCGCTGGGCAACAAGTACACTTTGTCTCACAGCTGTGGAAGAACTCCAGCCAGCAGAGGAGGCCCTGTGGGCAGCTGGAGAAGTGCCTAGTGGAAGGTATCCCGGAGCACCATGGGAAGTCAGAGGAGGTAACTGAGGAATGCTCTCCTGTCACAGCTGCATAGGAACCATGCTGTGGGAGGAGCTTTAGGCAGACATGGGTCAGCAAGTGGCACCAAGATGTAGAACAGGTTTCCCTGGGTAAGAAAGAAGCCAGGCCCAGAGCTGGCAGTCCTGGGAGGCAAGACCAGACAGCTAACTTCTAGAAGATGCTGCCATGCTCGGGCCAGGCGCTTTTACCCTCCAACCCATCACTTCAGAGAACTTTCAGTTTCCTCATAGCTGTCCTTCCCATGTTTATGTTGACAACAGAATGCTTAGCTATTCTGAGGCTGGATATGTAGGACTTGCCCAGCATGGAGAGAGAGAGAGAGAGAGAGAGAGAGAGAGAGAGAGAGATTGCTATGACTAAATGGGCTGCACAACTGACACAGCTGCTGGCCTGTGGCCTGTCCTGTGAAGAGAGATCTGTCCATCTTCACTAGGGAGCTATGATAAATAAGCACAGACAGACACTGGTCAGGACAAGCCACTTTATTTAAGAGCTCCGACAGCCTAAAATGGTTTAACATAGATGCATGGAAGATTTATCTAGATGACAAAACACCTGCAGTAGAAAGGCACATACATTATAATTTTGCAGGTTCTATTTCTCCTTTAAAAAATCCCATAGTCAAGTATTTTAAGTAATAAATGAAATACACATGAAGCTGACTGACTTCACACAAGCTGTCTGGTTGTCTGGGGCACCTCTGTTACCAGATGGGGCTGAATTCAGAATAAATGCCAGGTATCTGCACCTGTGGCTTCTTCGCTTTCCTCTTGATAGTGGTGATCAGTGGGAGGATTAATAAACATAATAAAATAATAGCAGGTATTATCAGCTGAGCACTTTTCCGTATGCCATGCTGTGCACTGAGGTCAGTGCTTCAAATATTTACCTTGCTTCATGCTCCTAACAGCCTGTGAGTGACTGAGCTCCCCATTCTACAGATGCAGACCTAGGTCAGAGAGCCTCTGCGCCTGAGTTCATGTTATCTGACTGCAAAGGCGTGGGGTTTGCGCTAAGCTGCCTCACACATGAAGGGGTTTGGTCCTCTGCAGATCCTTGAGCACATCAGTTAGTTATCGTTCTCAGTCTCCACATGCCTTCTTTTTTTCTTTTTTTAATACATATTGCTGGAAGTTTCAGGTGTGTTTCCATTTCTTTGTTCACTTATCTCTTCATATATTTTGAGCATGGTACTCTGCCAGGTGCAGGGGTTATGGACTGGACTCTACAACTCCCAGGCCACTTGGAAAGCTGGATCAGTTACAGGCAATTATCACAGCCATACTTCCACACCAATAGAGACTGCAGGGGGTCAGCTGGGGCAATGGCAGCCCCCTCGAGGGGAATAATCCAGGTACTGCTAAAGTTAAAGACAAGCCCTCAAGGCAGTGTTTGACCTTTTGATGAGTTTCTCCCACTTTTTCTCCCCTGTTTTCTCTGGCCCAAGTCTTCACAGACACTCAGACTCAGGTCTTCTAGCAGTGCGGTTGCTTAGTGGTCCACTATCATGCAGAACAGCCCTCTCGACTGGAGGCTGATGTTTTCTGGGGAAAACATTACCACAGATAACTCAGCCAGCACTAATCTTCCTGTACAGTTCCTCACACTGCACCCAGGCACTGCCCAGATCATGTCTGCCCAGATAAGGAATAGATAATAGCAACAGCACAGTAACTTCCTCCGTACTAGATGGGGATGGATTGAAGTATTCTAGGTACTTAAAATATCCTCATAATGACCCACTAAGATAGGCACTGTTATTCCTGTTTTAGTCTGTTCATGGGAAGGAGAGGGTAGAGGATATATGTTTTATCAGAGCTGACTATATGCCAAGCACCTGTCAGGCCTACACAATCCTCAGGACTCAGGATAAACGATCTGACCAGGTCAGGTGAAAAACTGGGAAATTTCAGGTCTATGACCACCAAACTGGAGCCCCTTTTTCCTCTCTGGCCAGCACACTGCTATGGCCTATGAGGGGAAAACAGAGGGGCTGCACCATGCTGCCCTCGCCTCTGTCCTCCCAACACCCTTCTATTAATACGAACAGTGCCAGGCTCTGCCCTCATGGTGCTCCCCCACCTCTGGCTTTCCACCAGCTCTTTTGGAGTAAATCCCATGCCTATACCAACAGTGTGAACAAAGCCACAGAAGACTTCAGGATCATTCAAGCCATAAAATACACCAAGCTGCTCACAGGTGTTTCTTGAAGACCAGGTACCCTCCCAAATCTACACTGATCTCAAGTCTGAGGGGTCCTCAGCAAGGGACCCACAGAGATGCTCCCTCTGTAGAGTCTTCTGGCTGGTTTTGGAGAGTGATAGCAGAGAGTTACCGGTGAAAGTCAGTGAAGAGACTGCTGTTCACAGAGGAGCAGGAGCTATGTGCTCTGGGGCTAATGGAGATGTAGGGCCAGGTGGGGCTTACTGGGAGACATTTATTGATGGTTGGAAGCAGAGCAGTTGTCCCTGCAAGACAGAGGGCCAGGCCCCTTGCTTTGGGTTCCACCAGGCTGGAACTATAACTTTATTCTATCTGGCCCCTCTGGCATAGGCTCCCACAGGGCAGTTCCGGTTTCTGGATTCTCTCTGAACCCTCAGAGCAAGGGAAGGTGGAGGGTAGTAAAGTGTTTCAGGAACAAATGGCTGGGGGCCTGGAGAGATGGCTCAGCAGTGATCAAGAGTACTGGCTGCTCTCACAGATGACCTGAGTTTGATTTCCAGCACCCACATGGTGGTTAACAACCATCTGTAGCTCCAGTTCTAGGGTATCCGACACCCTCTTTTGAACTCCTCGGGCACTGCATAACAGGGGTGCATCTACCTACATGCAGGCAATACCCACATACACATAAATTAAAAGTAATAAATGAAAATACTTTTAAAAATAAAAATAATATCTAAAATATAAAAAGTTCTTTAAAAAGAATGAATGGCTGAACTCAGATAAGTTGTGTGTTTTTACTTGCTTGGCAGAAGGTACTCAAGAGGGGGAGGCAGGTTTGCTCAGAGGCAGACACCCCCAGTTCAGTCCTGAAGACTTGCAGAACATCTTCACCTGTACCGTACCTGCTGCCCTCCTGAGTGCTGGAAGCTGTATCCCACAGGACGCTCCCCTTCCCAAGGAGTATAAGCACTCCCATCTTAGAGGAGAAAGTCAAGCTGGCAGAACTTGCTGCACCCTAGCTCTCTGGAGGCTAGCCCTACTGACCCTTCTCCTTTATCACACAAAATATGTTGCACTGTACTTCTCCACCATGGCATCCAGCGGATTTTGCAGTTGGGAAGCCTGATAAAACCTCTCCAGCACCCTGGGGTGTCTTCGCGGCGCCTGCTAATTTGAACTGTCATACGTCTCTCTGTGTGGATTATTTATTTGTGTTGGTTTACGCACTAGTTTGGGCTTCAAAGGGTGGCAAGACCCATGTTGTGGCCCATCCACGGAACACCCATAATTAGCTTATGGCAGGGAAGCACTGAATGGCACCCGGCTAATGCTGGATGCTTATTTTAACCTCAAGCACGGGTGCTGCAAGTGGGATACGAACCTGCAACCTGCGTCTGCAGCTCCCGCCGGTTACAGGAGTGAAAGGGTTAAGGTGTGGGACTAGAGTGGTTCTGGGCTGGCAGTTCAGCACTCCCCCCCACCCGCCGCCCTGGCGCGCGTGTCACCGAGAGTCACATGGGCCCGGAAGGCCGGCAGGATCCTGGCCCCGGTGGGCGCCCACGAATACAGCCGGCAGCCAGGACCGCTGCTTACCTGCGCGTCGCGGGGCTCCGCAGCAGCACCGAATCTCGGGGGACTAGGGGGGAGGGGACCCCTGAGCTGAACCGGGGCGGGGACCGACCTTCGCTGGTCGCAGGGCCCACTCTGGTCCAACAGCTCCGGGACTAACGAGTGGTGACCCGCGCTGGGGGCCCAGGCCAAAGTGAACTTGACCTTGCGCTGCCGGGCTTCCTGCTGTGGGCGGAGCCTGACGGAGTTAGCGCCGAGCCCCGCCCCTCTGCCCAGGCCCCGCCTTCCCGCGCCCCCTCTACTGGATCCCACTGGCTCACCATCCCTGCGCCCCTTTTCTGTTGTGTGTGTGTTTCCTTTTTATTTTCACTTTTGTGGTCCATTTATTTTTTTAAATTTAATTTTACTTTCATTTTTAAAAGTCCAAACCAAAAATATTTCAAAGTAATGCATGGACAGTCCTACAACGTAACATGATTACTTATAATGAAAGCAACAAACCCTTCTCGCCCCCACCCATAGCTCTTTTTCATCAGTTCCTTCGTTCTCTTCGTGGTCACCTCTTGTCGCTAAAAAAAAAAAAAAAAAGCTTACATAGCGGTTCCTTGATTTATCTATTGACTTTCTGCCGTGTTAGATGAGGATTTGCTCTCTTCCTGTGCCCCTGCCCCCTCTCCTGACAAATTTACACGTCTGTTCTCTAGCCCTGCCCTGGTTGGGATGAAGGTTTTGGAGGGGGCTGCTTCTAACACAATTGGGGGAATAGGGAAATAAGAGTCGTTTTAGAAAGAAAATACAGAATTAGGAGCTTGAGAGTGAGCATTTACTAAAAAGAGAAAAGAAATCACTACCAAATCCTTGGAGAATCAGGTCCTATCCCTTGACATCTTAGGTAACTTAGGGCTTTAATTGGTTCCCCGCCTCCCCAGAACCTTGCATAACTTCTGGTACTTACAAGGACTTTGTACGGAGGGGGTCTTGAAGGTCAAGGTCACTAGCTTCTGCCAATCCTAAAGGAGAATATGGGAGTGAGCAAAAAAAGAAATGTGGAGGGTGATGTCAAGGCTTTGTGCTGCTGAACATTTAATCCCCCTTTTCCTAACCACAGTGACAAGACTTCTTATGGGTGTGGGGAGTGGCTTGTGAAGCTGGCTCTGTATCCTGTCTCTGTCCCCAGTCCCTCACAATGCTCCAAGACATACTGCTCCAACTCTTAGGAAGGACCTCATCCTTGCCTCATGTCAGCATAAAAGACAAACGCTAGCCCCCAGGGGGAAGGGCATCTCTCCACAAAGGCCCTCTGATTCTCTTCTCAGCTACTTAGGGTAAAAGGCATCGCCATAAAGCGACCTTGTGCAAGCAACTTTACCTAAGGAAAACCCCACCGGGTTTGGGGGGAGGTTTAAGTGGCGTCATTTCTAACTGTATAATTTCCTTTGCATATTCTCGTTTTGATGTCGGTTTGTACACCAGCAGAGTAGGAGGTTCACTGCAAAGTCTGGGAATTTCTGTCTGCGTAGCACATGGTATGACAGGGTATGACAGGTTGGTGAGAATCCATGCATTAATCAAAGGCCAATTCATTCTGAGTCAGGACCCGAGACTGGGGAGATAGAGCCAGAGAGCCAGAGGAGAGACTGGACAGTGACTCTCAGTGCAAAGAAAGCTTTCTCCCCTGAGCCAGGGTAGACCAAAGCCTGGTGTAGCCAAAAGCAGGCTTCTTGGGTAAGAAGTAATGTCTGCTCCTGGAGGAAGGTAAGAACCTCACATAACAGCCAAGTTTTGCTTCACGGAGGAGAAGAGCTGAAACTGACAGTCTGGCCGACACCTGACTCCTTGTTTTCTGAAAGGGAACACCTGGGTACCAGTCGTGTCCCTTGACTGTACTCATAGCTGGCTCCTGGATAATGGGCATAATGGGAGCTTATGGGTAAGGTTAACTTGTCCAGGACCCTTTTTGACATTAGGGCTCAAGGAGGGTGTCTATAAGATGCCTCCTTAGAAAGGACAAGAACGTGACCCTTTGAGTCTCTTCTAAGCAGACTACAGTACACGCAGTTGAGTGCAAGTAGTTCATTCAGGAGGTACAAAACCAACAAAGGAAGATGCGTGCAGGGCGGGGAAGGTGCCTACCCGGGAAGATTTATATAGCCGGCTTTGTGACAGGTGATTAGAGTATAATCCTGAGGGAATATTCTAGAAAGCAGCATAAGGAACATGCCTTGGCATTATCCCACCCAAGGAAAATCTGCAGGAATCTCCAAGGAATAAAAATGAGCTGACAAATTAGCTCACGTGTTGGAATATTTCAGAAATGATTCCTAGGTGCAAAGCTATGATCGTTAAAATGAGATCAAACTGCAGTATTTCCCTCTGTCACCCAACCTGCTCTGCTCATGGCTCTGTGGGAGCACAGTGGGCAGCCATCTATGTGCAGCTGGCTTTGACTCATGGTCTTGGGTTGTGTTCTAAGGATGTTCTGGAGAATTGGCCCTCAGATGAACTGTGATAGGGCCATTGACTGGCCACCCTCTGCATTTAGATGAGTCTATTGTAACCTTGACTGCTGAGCTCTGGCTCAGAAAGAACAAGCTTTGGTCGAATAATCATGTGTGTGAAAAGAGACTGGTGAACTTTTAAAATGACCAGAGAGGACAAGCTGTTCAATCACTGCAAGTGCTTCAGAAGGTGGGTCCTTTCTTACAACCAAAGAACAGATGGACAGTGTTCACGCCGAGTCTTTTATTGTGGCCACTGAAGCAGGCGCCCACACAAAGCCTCCAGCAGCCACACGTACTGTTGAGTGAGAATGATCCTTTCAAACCATGAATCAGTCCACAACACACAGAAACTGCTAATGGCTTCCATCACAATTAGGCTAAAGTCACAAGTCGCCCCTGTGACCTGCAAGGCCCTTATAAATTCTGCCTTGTGCATTGGCCCTTCTTAACCTCTAGTCTCTGATTTTGCTGCCCTTATTAGACATTGTTAAGATTCAAATGTGAAATGTCTTCCATGGGCTCCTGTTTTGAGCACTTGATCCCTGGCTTGTGGTATCTTTTTGAGTAGGTTCCAGCCGCTATTCTAGGTGTGGGAATGTGTCAGGAAATTAAACCTAAAAATTCAGCCCTTTTTGGACCTTATGATAAAGTGAAACAGATAAGAAGTAAAAATATACTCCAAGGACAGATAATAAGATCTATGAAAATAGGGTATGCAGAGTGTTTCCACGATTGCAGGGGTGGAACTGGGTCTATTTGAAAGCTAATGAGCTGGGCATGTGACCTTGAGAGTGGGGAGCACATCCCACCAGATCCCACCAGTGAGTGAGAGCCCCATTGTAGTGGCTTTGGGAAACAGATCCAGGGTGTCTGTATTAATTACTTTTCTCATTGCTGTGGCTCAATATCCGACAGTAGCAACCTAAGAGAGTGCTCTAGTTTGCTTTCTATGACTGTGGGAAACTATAACCAAAGCCAACTTGGGGAAGAAAGAATTTACTTCATCTTACATACCCAAGGCACAGTTCATCAATCACTGAGGGAAGTCAGGCATGAATTCAGGGCAGGAACCTAGAGGCAGCAACAGACCATGGAGGAATGCTGCATTTTTGTTTGCTCCTCTGCCCTGTGCTCAGTCTGCTTTCTTATATAACCCAGGACCATCTGTCGAGGGGTGGCACCATGCGAAGTGAGATAGACCCTCCTACATCACTCAACAATCAAGCAACTACCTCACAGACATGCCCACAGACCAGTCCAAATGAGAAAATTCCCCAACTGAGGTTCCTTCTTTCTAAGTATCTCAAGTTGACACCCAAGAAGCTATCTAGCACAGAGACAAAGGAGTTATTTTGACTCATGGTCCAGAGGGTACATTCCATCATGGTGGGGAGGTCATGGCATCTGAAGCATATCATGGCTTGCTCATATCTTGTCAGATCAGGTAAACAGAGACAGGATCAGAAGCAGGACTGTGCTATCATCTTCACAGCCAAGGCCTAGTGGCCTATGCCTTTTAGCTAAGTACCATGCTGGTATCTGGTAAGTATTCCAAAATTATATCTTGAAAGAATGGAGGATTGACTAAATGAACTGAACTCAGTGAATGCAGAAAATATAGCTCGTGAATACAAAGATAAAGTGTTCTAGAACTTAGATTTTTCAACGAATAAAGACTAGAGTCTTCCTACTTAGAAAGAATTGTTAGAACAGAGAAAAAAGTTAAGACGAAGGGCTGAGCTGCATTTCATAATCTGATTCATAATTACAGCTTGAGGTTTTGAGTGAGAAAGTTTGCTATTTTATATTTGACCCTGTGTCTGTGTTAAATATTTAAGTAAAGGTTAGCTTGAAAGGCTACACACTCATTTAAAGGTAGTGAAAAAGAAAAAAGTTCCCCTAGTCATTTGAATAATTCAGGATGGTATTTTATGACTTCTGTGGTTTTTGAGATCCAGTATGGTAACTGGTTACCTGAAAACAGAGGCCTTGATCAAATATTTAAGACCTCACTTACTTTTGTTTTCTGCATATTTGGTATTTCTGCTTCTCACTTTGTTTTTTAGTCATCCTGCAATCACACAATTCACACACCAAAGCTAATGGAAATGTTTCATGGATTATTAAATGCAGCTAAGCAATGAGCGTTTGCTAGACTAGAAGGCCAAACTGGGGCCATTTTGCTATTCTAACAAAATAATTTTTCCTTGAAGGTGCAGACTCTGAGTTTGCAGAGCTGTCTCTCCTTCATGTTGAGTTTTGCAAGGCAGATACAAGTTGGCTGCAGAAGAGGCATTCCTGTGGAAAGCACATGCTCTATGAGACGTGTCTCACAGTGCACAATTAAGAATTTTACAAAAAAGGAGTCCTGTCCAAGGACTGGCATTCAGCAGACTTGATCTCTACGCTTTGGCCATTTGTGTCCTTTTGTGTTCCTGGCCCTCTGCTGCACGAGGGAGCTTCATTAATGAGAGCTGAGAGATCCATTAGTGTCCTCTTCTTTACTTCTGTTCTATGTTTATTAAACTTCACCCACTGAAGGCTCAGGGACCATCTCGGAAGACGGGGCCGAAAGCTTGTAAGAGCCAAGGAGGAGGTGCATGACCATATGGAAACAGAGTCCTACAAGCTCCTGGGAACCTGCTCATATGATTCTATGGCAATGGTGTCAGCATACACAAGTCCCATGCAAACTCAGGCAGACAAAAACCCAGCATGGAACT